ATTTGTTAAGTAATGCACTGACGTAACACACATTCTTCACAGGTGACTTTCACTATTAGAGATTTCAGATTTTCATTGCCAGTCAGAAGATATGGATATTGTAGCATAAAACTGTGTAGAGACTTCATGGCTTCTCACAGACACAGGTCAAAACTAACATATCACTAGAACACATAATCCTAAACAGTCATGGTGGTAGAAATACTGTACTGCTACCAGAATGAAAACAATCTGTGGCCACCTAGCACTTCATGGCTGTCACTACATTGCATTCCACGGCCACTCAGTAATTAATGGCAACAGCAGAGCTAGAACTCAGAGCCACCAGTTCCAAAAACATGGGCCCTGACCACAGAAGCTAGAGTAGATCTGCCCACAGTTGTCCAGCTCTCATGCTGTCTGGTTGTGGGCTGCGGGATACCCCACACTGACTAATTCCCATGCTCACTAGTTAGATATAGCTCATCCTTGATTGCTGGGGATTTATGGAATTCCAGCTTCCTGATTGTCACCATGGATATATGGAATTTATGGCAATAACAGGGCTAAATTCCTCTTCCTCCAGAAGTACAGACCCCTACAAGATGAGCTAAGAGGGAATCAGCTTTGGAAGTTAGCAGTATAAGGCCTATGACATACAGTTAAGTAGTTCTGAGTCCATCCAGAAGAGGGCAATATACACTACCCTGTTCATTACAATACAGGGAGATGGAATTCCTAGACTTCTCAGTAACATGATATGTGATTACAGGCCCCTCTGAGCCCCTCGATTCTAATAATAAGGTCCCAAAATTTACACTCCACTTGAAATCTCAAACCAAGCCATAGCATTGGAGGTGACTTGGTAGCTATGTCATCAGCATTTGCAGAGAGCTAACAGGCATGTCAATTTATCCATGTGACAAAATGAGGAAATCTCATTCATTGCACATCTCCATTTGCCAGGCTGAGATCCCTCTGCAGAATAACTTGTTGCTACAGTTCTACATCAGAGCCCCATTACTGCATGATTCACTCCATAATACGTACAGCTCTCAAATACGCACAGTACAGATGTATGTGTGACAGGTGTGCGTTAGAATCTGAGCCAGTCAGGTCCTTGCTTATGCTCTTTTCAACAAGGTACAGGATGCCATTTATTTTATTTATTTTGATTTGTTTAAAATGCACCCACCAGCGCATTGTGTGCAGGTGTGGTACAATGGCCTAGTCTACGGGATCACATCTCCTTCTAGCAGATAACCCCAACAAAAATAAAAGTTTGCTATGTAAAGCTAGCTTAGGCAGATGCTCATTCAGTTCAAGCAATCAGGCCTTCTTTTGGTGTCGAAGGTCCCAGGTTCAATCCCCATTGACAACAGTGGGATCTGTATGCATTACACCTATGTAAATTTTGTCACTAAAAACAATACCTTTGCATAGCTCATTTGGTAATCTGTACCTGTCTCTCCTTGGCCCAGGTTTTTGTTTTGTTTTTTACCTTTGCACATCAACATCCAGACAGAGAAGCAGAGCTCTGCACTTTCAATAGCTACTGTATTTGAAGGCCAAAGAGTGACAGTGTTTAATAAAAAAATATATACATTTAGGCACCAATCCTACAAACACGCACACACTTTTTTCCACCGGATTTCAGCTAGACCAGCATCCAAACTGGCCAGCATGGGTCTGTACCATTGCCCTCACTTGGATAGAATCAGAGCTTCTTAGCTGTGAATAGTTCTGTTTTCGCTTCAATGGAAGGGATCATGCTTTTGCAGCCAGTGGCTTTGACTTCTATCCACACTGTTGCCACTAAGTTCTGAACGGCCATGGTATGTAGCATACTGCAAGCCATGAGTTCAGTTATGCACATGGATTGAGGGCTGGATTTTACTTTTTTTTCTGATCAAAACAATATTATAATAAGCTTATGTTTTAAGTTCTGGTGGGCCAGCTATTCTCAGGGACAGGTACAGTTCTGATAATATAGCAGTTCTCCTGGCATGCCACATCTAGAACTCAGAAGCACTTGGCATACCACCTTTCTCATTTTAATCAATGTAGTTATAATGGATTTATTACGCTGATACTATACCTTAAATCAGACAGCATATTGTCTGATCACAGCTCACGCACCACAGTTGGAAAACCGCAGAACGATTAACTATCACACATTTGTTATTTCCTTTTAATTAATTAAAATGTCTTTGTATTTAGCTACTATCCTTGAATATTAAATATTTTCAGAGTCATTTAAAAATACATTACAGATGAGTCTGAGCCTCAAAATTCAAATCTAAATGCAAAATAATTGACATGAGAATGGAATGGATCTTGTAGTATATATTGTTAGTTTCTGTCTCTATCCCATTCTAGAGCACAGATCAGACTTGCATGTAAGAGTTGCCAAATGATTCTCATTAAGAGGATGAACATATTTTCAGTGACATATGTCTGACCGACTTAACTTACTTGGCTGGGCACTGCAGCCAGTGACACCAAAATAACATACAGCTGGCAGTCTTTGTTCAAATACACCTAAATTAAATTTAACACCATTAGAAGATGTCCTCACCCTGGAGTAGGTTTAAGGTCATCTGCAAATCATTGCAGTGTTAATCACCCCCTTGGCCCTTACAAGAGTTGTATTCATTGTAATATATGTAGTTCCTCATTCTCCAAAGGCAAGTAATGGAAAACACACAAACTGGCAGGTCTCGAGGTTGATTTCTGTTGCACTCGATTTATTTGTAACATAGAATGGCTGATAAACATTTTCATGATTAAAAATGTACTTTGCCAACAAATTATTATGAGGGGGCTCAGAGCATCACATCTCACTTGTTGTTCTGCGTGCACACAATCCACACAACATAGAATCATAGAATTGTAGGACTGGAAGGGACCTTGAGAAGTCATCTAGTTCAGTCCCCTGCATTCATGGCAGGACTAAGTATTATCTAGACCCTCTGAGCCACATACGACAATCTTCAGAAGTTCGAGAGCCAGGGCACACTTGCCGGGAGCCGGGGGCTAGGGCTTCAGCCCATTCCTGCTGAAGCCCCGAGCCCTCGCAGGTGTGCCACACAGGGCTGAAGCCCCAAGACCCCCCCCCCGTTTCTGGGACACCATGTTGTTATAACTACTATTACAGTACTGCCCCTGCACAATCACATAGCAAAGCAGTCCCAGCCTTGGTGCACTTCCAATCCAAATAGAACAGACTGACAAAGGATTTTCCAGATGAGGACAGAGGTAGAGAGATTAAGGAAATCATCCAAGGTCACACAGGAAGTCTATGGCAGAGCCAGCAATTGACACCCCCCTCCTATTCTCCAAGCGCTAGGCTACTGCCTTAACAGCAAGACCATCATTCCGCCACGTACAACTGAGTCTCTTGCAAAGTCCCAGGATTTATTCTTGGGATGCAGAAGCAAAGCTACAGGCGTGGCTGACAAGAGCAGGGAAAGGGAGGGCCCTGAATGCAGGGTCTGTAAAATCTGTGTAAATACAGTGAAATGGGACGGGCCCCAAATCTCTCTCGATGGGTCTGGGTTCAGGGCAGACTTACAGTTGGTGTTTGGAGTTTTAAATGACTTGCTCAAACTAGTTGGTATTCAAGGTGTGATTTTTTTTTCTTAACTTCAGCATTCCAGCTTCCTCACTTGCAAACATTTCTTTGTGTAACCTGTGTGTGAGAGAGAGAGAGAGAGAGAGAGAGAGAGAGAGAACATAACAACTTCTCTAGCAAGTGTCAGTTGTTGCAATCCCACAAGTCAGCAGATAACTCAGCCCCCTCAGGAAAGGTTGACAATGTGACTTGGATTATGACAGCTAGGCCACTGCGGGGGTGTTTATCTCTCTCGCACACACTTATACAAGCGGCCTAGCTCCTTTATTTATTTATGTACCACAGAGCACTGAAGTGGAGTGAAACCATTCATCAGCGAATCAGACCACTTGCCTGCTTGGTACAGTTTAACATACAACAGCAGCTGTTCCCAACCTAGGGAGAAACATGGAACACCTGACAAACAACAATGCAAGGACAGTTATTCACAATTTTTTTTTCTATTGACACTTCAGATTCTTTTACTGGCAGAATTTCAAAACAAACACACACACAACCAGGAAATGCCAAGAGTACATCTTTTTGAAGATCAACAAATAGCAGCTAGGAAATTATTTCAAATCCACTGTTATTTAATTAAATTCATTCGCTAATGTGTTTATTTTCACTGATTTCTGTTCGGGGTGCTTGTTTTTTAACCAACATTCAAACAAATCATTATCTCTATAAAATAAACTCCCCTGGCTGGACTTTTTTTTTAATGTGTTCAAGTTCTGTTTATGATCATAGAGGTCAAGTTCTAGAGAAACAGCCCGGTCAGCTACCAAATCAAAAGTTCATTAATATAGATGACATACGCAAATTACTGGCACCGTCTGAAAATCCACACCGGAGCATGGGAAAATTTATTCTAAATTGTTATACCATCCTCCCACCGTCTAATATATTATTTAGCCCCCAAATCCATCCAATCTGCCGGTCTCTGTAGCTTTCTTCCATAGGTATCTAATCCCATAGCTATCTATCCAATCAATCTATTTAGCTCCCTGTAGCTCTGCATCTACGCAGCGTATCCATCCGTCCCATCAGTTTCTCTAGCGATCTATCTGCCCACCTTAGGAAATAAAGACTGCAACGCCTTGCGGAAGAAGAAGGGGGACCGGCTGGAATTAGATGGGATGTTTAGTGACAGACATTCATTTTTATTCTTGTTATTCACACTCGCTCTCGGCAAATTCAGGGACACTTGGCAGCCCAGCGAGCACAGAGGCCGGGTCTGAAGTTTCCACTGGGGATGGATTGTGCAACAAGCAGGAGGAGCCGAAGAAGACAGTCGCGAGCAATAAACAAAGCCACGTGTCTCCCCCCCGATCTAGGGGCCGGGCTAACGCCGCTCTTCCGGCAACAAAGAGCCCTCGGATAAATACAGCCGCGGCCGCTGCGAGGACACGGACACGGATCCGAGCGACGGTCGTACAACCCCCTCCCCCAGCCACGCAACTGGGGACCCCCCCCTCACCGGTGCGCCCCTTCCAGGCTCCGTAGGGACCGGGAAAGCTCCTTGGCAGAGCTCCCCGCGCCGCGATGCCTTTTCTGGGGCAGGACTGGAGGTCCCCGGGGCAGAACTGGGTGAAGACGGCGGATGGCTGGACCAGGTTCCTGGAGGAGAGACACAGCGGCTATGTCAGTGATATAAACAGGTGCGTGGCACAAAGATGTTGCACTAGGGGGAGGAGGGAGTTGGAAACGCTGCTGTTGAGCGGGGGGGGGGGGGGTTGTTGCATTCTGGTGGGTGGGGGGTTTATTATTATTATTTGGGGGGGGTGCGGTCTTTGCAAATATTGCGATGTCCCACTCTACAACGATTGTTTAAAAAAAGCCTGTTTTGCCCTAGGTGCCAAGCTGCCCGTTGTGTGCGTGCGCGCAATGCCTTTGTTTCTGTTTGTGTGCGTCATTAGGAGAAGGAAGCTCATTACCAGAGCTAAAGCCAAATACTAAGAAGCAGAGGGGAAAGGAACAGCTGGGCTGCATGGGGAGGGAATGGCCCGATGTGTCCGAAAGCTTCCTCGCTCCAGATGCGGGTTGCGCTTATCCGTGTGGTGTGTGTGAGTTCTGCTTGTTTAAACGGGCTAAGGTTTGGGAGACAACACGTCAATAAATTCCCAGACGAAACCTCATCCTGCTGCTTTGTTTTTTATTTTCTGCTTGTTAACTGTAGTTTCAGTAAAACTTAATTGTGGGTATTTAATAAGCAGCGCTGTTTTTAGAAAGCTGCTGAAGTCAGTAATATCTTGTCAGACCTCTGAGTTCACTGCAACGTTCCCGGTGAGAGCTGGAGAGTTTTGAAACACCAGACTACAGATGGTTGGTTGTTTTTTGTTGTGGGTTTAGGCTAAACATCTCCTTTGGCCAGCAGGGGGAGCTCTTTGGAGAGGGGGATCTAAATTACTCCACATTTGGCTGAGGAGCAGGAACTGGGTCTGGCAAAAGCCCGTCTTCCATTATGTCTGGTTAAAGTTGGCAATGAGCTGTCAGATGGTCTAAGATGGCTTCACTATGAGAGCCAGTCTTCCAATTTATTAGAGCCTTTGAAATATTTTTGGATGAGTGCACTGTATTAGCCTACAAGGAAAACCAGCAGAAAGTGTGGTTGTTTTTGAAGATTTTAACCGCTGGAGCCCTCATCTGCTTATTGTTTGTAAGGCATCACTCCTTTATCTCTGCGCTCCAAAAAAAAAAAAAAAAAGGCTAGTTATTTAATCTGAGGTTTAGTTATACAATCCTTTATTCTGTAGTAGGCACTGTGGCAACTATGAATACAGAGACCAATTTGGAGCACTTGTCCCACAGCAATTGAGTTACAAGCAATCCGTACTAATTTGAGTGGCTTCTGTAATTTCAGAGCATACCATATTTAAAAACTGAAATTAAACAAAATGTGCAGGTTCTGTTTTTAAACATTAGGGGACTTTGGTTTTTTTTTGTAAGCGTAACTGACGTAGCCTTGTTATGGCAAGCTCTCCTGGTTTATTGCTTTGGCATATACTTGAACATGGGCCATTAAACAGAGATCTGCTTTTTGTTCATTAGATGCTCGGATGCATGAAGATGTCTAGTCACTTTTAACTCTAAAAGTAAAGATACATGGTTTTTATTTTATAGCCATAAATGTAAAGCTATTGAAGGGTTAGGATCTCTACCTCTTCTTAATCTGTTTAATGGCCATTTTTCTTCTAAATAGGGGGGGAACTTTGGGCTCCCCACTTTAATGCTTCATGATCTTCCTATCCTCTGATGTTTGCAGCCTTTGGCACTAGTGACTTTTGTGCTCTGTCTGAGTGAGTAAGTTAAACTCCATTACCAACGGTAACACCAAGCAAAAGCATGTAAGGATAGTGAAGCACTGAAACGTCTGGAGCTTATTTATCCTGGAAGGGTTGGCTCATATACAGCATCTCACTGTCTGTGAGGTCCTCTCCTAGTTGAATAATCAAGGTCCAATGTAATTTGCAGGGTCATGTGGTCAGTCAGTGGCTCATGCCACTCTAGAACCCAAGATCTGCTTGGGTCTTGGGCCTTTCCTTTAGCTACTAAATCAGGCCTCCATGGATTTAAAGGAAAGATTGATAATCTACAGCCAAATTCACTATCTAAATAATTCACATTCACTGGAATTGTACCTGCTCATGTCAGGGCTGAAATTGGATCCAGGGTATTTACTGACTGAAAATTTTATCCCAGCCTCACCACCTTGACAGCATAGACCTGGGCCTGGAATCTTAAGACCTCTATTGTAGCCAATTTTGGATTATGTGGTGCCATTCTGTGGCGCAGCAGTGAGTCATCTGGTCTGCTGACGTTTCTGTGTTCCAGTAAAATAAGCATGTAAACAAAGATACAACTTCTGTTGAAGAGAGGGATTAGTAAGACTCTGACTCTGGCTAAACACATTGGGCCTGATTCTCCAGCTACTACATGTGTGCACTTACCATTGGGAGGTGCTTGTGTTCACCAGCTGCAGGACTTGGTCCAGTAAGTATATGGGCACTAGAGAGCTACTCCACTTCTCGCTGGCCACCCAAGTATGTGTGGTTCTGCCTTCTTATGAGAGAGTGAACAGTAACTTATGTCTGAGAGTGGGGTTGATCACATTTTTTGATGTGCTGTAATTTAGAAATATACATGGCAGCATCAACAAGTAAGCCCTGATCTTGGTTCATTGAGGACTGTGTCAAAACTACCATTGACTTCAGTGGTGCAGGATTGTGCCCTTAACAAGTGTCACTGAAAATCTTCTGAACCACTGCCAAACTGCCCCTGGAGAACTTCCAGGGAACTGCTTCCCTCCCTCCCCCTCTTTTTCCAGAAGTAAACACTTCCTAAGGCTTTCCAGTTCCTGAGTTTAAGAAATATGATACCCCTGAAGCCATTAATCCTTCACAGATCATAAATAATATTCTTCGTGGCTGAGTGGCTTGATTACACTGCATTCAAAGAAAACATCGGAAGGCAGGCAGTTAAGCTGGTTACAGTGTTGCATAGGTTGTAGGCAGGAAGACTTTGTTGCTACTTGTGGGGTGATGACCAACTGGCTTTGAAACAAGGGATTGGGCAGACCTTTCTTGCAAGGCCAATTCTTGTTTTTAAGGAGCACAGAGCGAGGATTGTGTAGGCTGATGACCTGGTCTGGAGATGAAACAATAGCATGCATTCGCACACACTGTCGTGATGGAAACGACTAAAGATGACTTGAAGGAAACATGATCTTGCTGTAAATTGCAAAAGGGAACATGATCTCTTTGCAGTGGTGGTTTTCATCGTACTTTTTTAACAAGCTTTTTAAAAGAAACTTTGGATTATAAACTATCAGATCGATATGTAAATAGGAAGAATGTCTGGACATGTAGAAATAACTGTTGTTAACTGCAAAATAATTAGATTGGTGCTGTTCTTAAATTCACTTTGAAAGAAAGGGTCTGATCCAGTTAACAACAGTTCCTCTTTAAAGTTCATCTAGTCCAGTATCCTGTCTCTGACAGTGGCCAGACCAGATGCTTGGCAGAAAGGTGCAAGAACCCCTTAGTAAGTAGATTGGCATGGGTGTAAATCTGCCCCATGCACTAGGTCTCAGCCACTAATGGTATAATAAAGGTTTCAGATTATAGAATCATCAGTAAATTCACAGTCAGGGTTGTTGAGATTTAAGTTTTAAATTGGGACTGAGATCCCTCTCTTTCACAGTTTAATTATTTGAATTTAATCTCTGAATCTGGCACAGTTATTCATCATAGGACAATTACATGTTCTGTGGAATTTGTTTTTAGTAAAGTTTTGACTTTTGTGCAGGAATTTTCTTAAAGTGCTCCCTTCTTGATATTTTATTCTGGCATTCTCTCACTTTTCTTTTAGTTCCTCTAGTTAAACCACAGTTACCACAAAATCCAAACTTCACACACACCTGTCTCCGTCTCTGACATAGACCACTTTTAACCTTCTAAAACCAAGTGCCTAGAGAAGTATATCCCTAATTCAGAACATCCTAATTGAGCTGCACCAGTAATACCCAGCGGAACTGCAAGTTCCGTCAGCTGTTTCCGTTTTCCAATGCTGCCAGCCTGACTCACTAGCTCCACTCCTTACAGAGGTAGGAAGCCAGGGAGGCAAGCTAGACAGCAGAGGATATAGAGGTGGGCTCCCAGAGAGGTGCTGCTGTAGGGGGCCATATGGATAAGAGTGGTTGTGGGGAGCAAGTAGAGTGAACAGGAGGGTAGAGAAAAGAGTGAAGATGTGTGGGGAGCCACCAATTATCCCTCCTTGTATCCCATTAATACCTCCATGTCCCCAGGCTCTGGGGGAGATCTTCATTCTCTCTAGCTCTAGTCCCAGTCTCGTGGATCCACTTATATGCACCAGACCAGAACACTCCTCATGTGCTTACTACAGGAAGACACTACCTCAGAGGCAGAGTCATTAGCTCTGTACAGTATTAGTCAGATGACTAAGAACTAGACTTCAGACTGTCAGAGCAAGGATCTGTCATGTAATTTGTCTGCACAGCCCCACATTCTCAGTGCCACTGCAGAAAAGCTGATAACTAACCTTCCATACATTACTGTGATCCACTGTCTTTTGTTAGTTATATATCCTTCGTCTACACTTGTTTTTGAGCAAGCTGATCTCTTTAAGTTACTTTGTTTTGCAGCAGAGAGAGGTGGGAGAAAAATTCTATCTTTATTGGGGCTTTTCCTTTTTATTTATCTAGCATCAGATATTTTAAAAATGTTATTTAAAAACTGGAACAATAAACAGCACACAAGTGCCCAGCTAAGGTTAAAGGTGAGCTTGGTAGGAAGGGAAACAGCTTAACTATTTAACATCATACCAAAAGGGACTGCTTATGTGCACACATCCAGGAAGCTCTCAGTGCAGTCTACAAAGCAGTAGATTGGAGCATTTTTTGAGCCCCCAGGAGTGTAATGAGATTGGCCTCTCTCTTGAAAGAGGAAAGCAAGAAACAGGTACTTTACAGGCCCGTATAAGTGTAACTGAAGCCAGTGATGATAAAACCGAAAACACAGGACCAGACTTTCAAACCAGGCCCCTCCAGTACAGATCTCCTTCTCCTCCTTTCTAGGAGCCTGGAGAAAGAAAGGACGCTCTTTTTTTCACTTCTATTTCCAACCCCAGAGTCCCCTGATGTGATGCTTCTCTAGCTGTTCTGTAGCCACCTGATTCCTGCCAGGATGTGTGTGTCTCTACAACTCTCGCCATCACCCGCAATCCTCCCATTATATAAATGGCTTCAGTGCAGTGTCACCTCTGCTGCTGCTGCTCACAGCTCTCCCTAGCAGCAGGAGCATCTGCTGCCTTTCCCTGCTCTCCACAGGATTCTGAACAACAGCAATGAAACTGACCAGAGTCTTCTCAGTTTCACTCTGCAGCTTGGCAGTGCTTATTCAGAGTTAGGCAAACATCATTGGGCTTTGGATCAAGCTCTTAAAGTCAGTGAGTCTTTTTCCACTGACTTCAGTGAGTTTGGGATTATACTCTTAAAAGGAAAAAGAAAGAGCTCTAGGTCCCTTTGTCAGATATTATACATTCAAACAAAAAGAAATGCACAGCCTTTCTAAATGCAGGAAGGGGAAAAATACACTCTGGCCACAGATCCCAACCCTTCATACATATCACCTACTTGTCTACAGACTCTGGAAGACAGCCACCGAAACATGAGTCAGGATTGTGTTATCTTTGTATTCATAAAAGTTAAAAGTTATGGTTTGTTTGTTTTTAATTAAAGCTTAGTTTTCTCCCCAGCCCTTCCAGTAATTGGCAGGAAAAGCTTCCTACTCACAACTACATGGTGGTTTCTTCAAGCACTCTGGTTATACGCCTTCATAGGTGTGCATTGTGCTTTATAAAACCTAGCATACCCCTGCGGGAAGGAGTTGCAATCTAAGTTAGGTAGAGCATATGGTAGGAATTGATGACATCAGACAAGCAGGCAGAGGTAAAAGGAAGGACAAGAGTGCTCTACTACAAGGTCATGAAGTTGATTGTGTAACATGCTTTGGGTGTGCTCCTATTCACTATAATTATGTATATAATCTAGCACAAGAATTGGGTGGGTGAGGTATTTGAATGTTTTATGGGAAAAGGTCTTCATTATTGGACTCTAAAACTGCTTATAGTTTTCTATAGAACAGCACTAGAATGAGCTGTTTAACAGCAAACAAACATGGGTTCCTGGAACCAGATATGTGGAAAGAGTAAAATATAGTTCTTACAGTAAAAAAGTTCCCCAGACCAAAGAATAAACAGACTCTCTGCCTTGTGTCATTCACAGTTACTGCAAAAAGGAGGATTACAACAAGGAGAATCTCTTCAACAGCATGAACTATGATGTTGCTGCCAAGAAGAGAAAGAAGGACCTGCTGAATAACAAGACAAAGATCCAGTGTAAGGCAGCAAATGGGGGACTTTTAAAACCAAAGTTGCTTGAGGATGATTATAAAACACACACACACACATATATAATCTCTCAGAAAGTGTATGAGACACTTGTGTGTGCTGCAGCACCTCCAGAAGTCTCTTGAGAGTCTCTGCACCCATGTTTGACCTAAGTAGAGAACTTGGATACATTTTAATATGAAGATATATGCCTGTATTATGAATCCCTTCTCCAAGTGTTTGTACTTGTTGTGTTCAAATTTTTGTCATTTGTATTTGGCAGAGGGAGAGTAATTTTTTCCTATGGCACATTCAAGTGAACCAGTTCCAATTTTTTCCCTCCTATAGACTTTCTTGTGTACAACAGATTGAATTCATTCTCCTGTCCACATATGCACTTAAAACCCATTTATGTTAATGGCGGTTCCAAGCCTGAGTGTGAATTCTGATCCTACCTCTGCTACACAAAATGCATGCAAAATGAAATCTAGGATTCAGACTCGCTCTCAATAGAGGACGGTTTGAACTCTGTTATATGCACAGTTAAGACCCCTATCTCTCAGTTGGCTTCATGTGGTTGGATCCATGGTATTCTGCACAGACACAAGGGTCTGTGTGGATCTAATTGCAGGATTGATACCTAAATGTAATGCATGTGAAGGCTACAAACATCAACATACACAGAGAGGAAGTGAAATAGGTTATGATTCTCACTGTATTATTGGCTCACTATGCAACCTCCAGGATCTTTTCAACAGCTGATGTGAGACTTTAGTCCTGGATATGATTGTAGTTAAATGTGCAATGTGAAGAAGTTGTTACTGTGACAGTCTTTGGCCAGATATGACCTTAGTCACTGCCTTAAATGGAGTGATTCAGGATCTGCACTGGTGTCCACGTGTAACTTTTGTTTCCAGACTTGAGTGCATATATCTTTGCATTCAGTTTCCTCTCTGTGGAAATCAAGTGTGTGTTTCTGGGAATGGGGGGAAGTGGGGGAGCTTTTCATCTCTAATAATGTTAGTTGATAAATGGCTACTGTGTAATACACTGAATGTCCTAGTTCAGTGAGGTGAATGGGATGGGAGAGGGCTGCGTGGGTTCCTATTTCTTGGATCAGCTATTATATAGCTGGAGATATCTTTCTGCACGGTTGGGTTAACAATACAACAGCATGATGTGTGTTTGGGGGGAAGGCGGTGGTGTCACACTAGGGAGGAGAGGAAAGGTGTTTATAACGCCTCTTTTTCAGAGGGCTGAAAGGGAAGCTTTTGGGAAGGGACCTCCCACAAAACATGGAATGTTTCAGGCCCAAATGAGATTTTTGCTTTTCTGTTTAGAAAGGATTATGCAAGTGATGAAACCCATTTCTAATGGAACTGCCTATATAATTCTAACTCTAGCACTCGCTGTTATAAACACTATAGTGACTGTTAGTCTAGTGTCTTATGACACGTTAATCCAAACTCTGTAACTGAGGTAATGAGTATTTAATGAAATCAATAATAACAAACTCTGGCTGTCAGCCACGCTTATTGTCAGAGAGCAAAGAAAACAAGGGGCTGTATGTTCACAGCATATAGATTAAATATCTACAGTCTTGGACTGTGTCACTGAAACACAAATCTTTTCTAGGATCCTGGCTGTTGCCTTAGATAAACGAATGTTGAAACAAAGCAATTCATTGATGGTCTGATTCTGATCTGTGTTACACTGGTGTAAATCGGAAGCAACTCCAAAAGGGTCAGTGGAGTAGTGCCATTATAGAACTGTTGTGAGAGTAGAACTGGGCTTCATCTTTCTGCAAAGTTAGGTTTTTATTATATATAAAATAAGTGAAGAAAATCTGTCTTTGTCTCAACAGATTTCCATCAAGAAAAATGGATTTATGTCCACAAGGGAAGCACAAAAGAAGTAAGTACCCACTGTTTTATTTCCCCCATACCATTTGTCCAAACAGCGTTTTTTATGGGGCCAAATCCTCAGGTGGTGCAAATCAGCAGAGCTCCGTTGAAATAAATGGAGCTGTGCTAATTTATACCACCTGAGGATCTGGCCTATGATTACTATTGCAGTAGTGACTACAAGCCCCAATTAGGGCTACATTGGGCTAGTCTCTGTACATATTTAAAACAAAAAGATGATGTTGTTTGCTTGCTTTTACCAAAATCTAGTGGTAAACTAAGCAGCAACACAACTGCAGGCTTTCCCACAGGTAAGTCCTAGCAAGAAAAGCACTGCAGTTCAGCAGCACAGGTGTGTGTGTGTGTGTGTGTGTGTGTGTGTGTGTGTGTGTGTGTGTG